GGCGGGGGAGCTTCTGGGCCTCCGGGAGGCCGCATCCGCCCGCGAGGGCCGTTTTGCTCACTCCTGAGCTAAAAGGGCGAAGAGGGGGAATCGTTTCTGTGGTCACTGAAGGGACAGATCCGCACGGGGGCAGCAAAGTGTCACGTTCGCTTCAGAAACCGAATAGAAGAATAAGCACCAGGAATTATTGGCTTCAGCTCTGCAGGCTGGGCTGGCTCTTCAGCGCGAGGCTCTGCCCAGCCTAATCCCTTCCCATTCCGCACGAGTTCGGTGCCCAGCGCCCCTGGGAAGTTCGGAGATCACCGCTCCCAGGGAGATTTCCCCACTGGAGAGTGCCCGTGTTTACACATCCCTGGACTCTGCGTTGTGTCAGTTTCACCCATTGGGTGTGACCTTGTGACAGCCCGACACTGGGCACCTTCACATTCAGCTTCACCAATTGTCCCTTAGCTCACACGGCCCCCCCTGAGGTTAGAAATCAGGGTCCAAATTCCATAGATCTACTCTGGCCTCCTCCGTGGCTGTGTCCCTCCCAAGTCTGAGGCCAGTTATTTGTCCAGGCTGGCAACGCCGCGGTTTCGTCAAACGATGTAGCCCCGCCCACATGCAAATGAAGAAGGAAAACTGCCTGATAAAGAACAGCCAGGGGGCCTCGCTAACAGGCGGCGGTTTCCTGCTTTGCGGCGCACAAGGTGGTGGGGAAGAATGGAAATGACCGGTCTGGGGTTCTGTCTCTTTCTGGCGGTTGTCTCAGGTAAGGGGATGGACGCAGCAGGTGTCTGCTGGGCACAGCTGGGCTGGGAGAGCAAAGAGCAGGGGGATGGACTTGACCTTCTGAGGTCTCTTCCAGATCTATGGTTCTATGATTCCATGATTCTAAGATGGTTTCAAGCTGAAGATGTAGGAGGTGGATCAGGAACTCTGGTTTCTAAATCCCAGCTCTGAGCACAGCGCCTGGGATGGGATTTCAAAGCCAAATTTTCATTATTTTGTGCCAGGAATCCCGTACACAGCTTTGAAAACCCTCCAGCCCAGTTCATGCCTCAGTTTCCCTTTGCAAAAGGGTGTAACTTCACATCGCTACTGCACAGGAATATGATGTGGACAGATTCGTTCTGACAGAAAGGCCGATCAGAGACTGCCCTGGACAGGGCAAAGACAAGGGTTTGGATAAGGCTGGGAAGAGGAGGAATAGAAGGGAATTAACGGCATTTTTATTGTCTTTTTATTCACAGGTGTCAGCTCCCAGGTCCAGCTGACCCAGTCTGGGGCCGAAATCAAGAAACCCGGAGAATCCGTGAAGCTGACATGTAAAACCTCCGGCTACACCTTCACCAGCTATTACATGCACTGGGTCCGGCAGGCTCCCGGGAAGGGCCTGGAGTGGGTCGGGCGGATCAATCCATATAGTGGTGGCACTGACTATGCCTCGGCCTTCCAGGGGCGAGTCACCATCACCAGGGACAACTCCATAACCACGGCCTGGCTGCAGCTGGGCAGCCTGCGAGCCGATGACACAGCCACGTATTACTGCGCTCGGGACACGGTGACACAAACCAAAACAACAGCCCTTCAAAAACCCCAGTGAGAGAACCCAGGTGTCCTGCCAACCCTGGAGCCTTTAGTCCCTCCGGCGAGCATTTGCCCAGATCAACAAGCCGGGGTCATTTGTCCCAAATTTCATAGGCCCGTCACGGTCAGTTGTTTAGTTATTTCTGGCTGCAGCGTTAAATCAGTTTTCAGAACAGGCTTCTGTGACAGTCATCTGTGTCAGCAGCAAAACAGCCCGGAGCGAATGCCCTGAGTGATATACGATAGGAGATTTGAAGGAGGGGTTTTCAATATCTCTGCTTGAAGGTGTTCCTCAGTGAATAAATAAATACTGGACTGAAAGAGAAGAGGGGTGCCTGCACCCCATGTCAACCTCCCTTTGACAGTGGAGTCTCAAATTCCTGCTCCCACATCAGGCTCAAGAGGGATGATCCTGGCTGTTTCATTTCCTAGGTAAGTGCTCTAACCACTATAGGAAACCCCACCGACTCCTTCCCTGGCACAAGGGGCTTGGGAGCGTTATTAAGTATCATCTGAAGCACCTACCTTTAGGACAGGGCTGTGAATCCCAAATGCAGTTAGATACTTAACTCCCTTTCACAGGTGGGACCCCTCCTCCGCATTTGCTAAAACTAGAAGCTGCACCAGACAGCCCTACTACCCAGTTTGCTGCCTTTTGTAGCCCTCCTACTAGCCCCCAGCACTCCGCACAGCGAACAGGAGGTGTGATCCCCCGTACCAGTCGCAGTTAAATAAGGTGATGCGGGGGCCCGCCAGGCAGATGGAATTCGGCCTGTGGGCCAGTATTTGTCCATCGCTGGTTTACAGCCAGTCACAAGTGACTGCACGTGGGATATTTATCTCGCCCGGGTATTGTGGGGAAAATCAAATAACTCCAATTGTGTCTAAGGGGGGACTGTGCAGAAATCAAAACTCTCTAAAAGAAAACTGCTGTAAGGGTTAAAAAGTTTTCCAGGCCTCTCTCCCTGTATCAGAGTGAAATCAAATTAACTCTAATCAAAAACCCTTATCTTTG